CAGTCCTGCTTTCCCAGGAATCAGTCTGGTAAGTCTACATTACACTCACTCCATTGCCAGAACATCTATCTTCAGATAAGGAGACCAAAACAGCGCACAGTATTCTAGGTGTGATCTTGCCAAGCCCTATATAACTGCAGCAATACAACCCTGCTCTTGTACTTAAACCGTGTCACTAAAAACACCAACACACTACTTGCTTTCAAGCTGCACCTGCACTTTTAGCAACTGGTGCACAGGGTCACCCAAGTCTCATTGCATCTCCCCATTTCTCAATCTATTGCCATTCGGAAATGATGTGCCTTGATTTCTATCAACATGATAAATTCACAATTATCCACACTATACTTCACGTGCCATGCATTTGCGCACTCGCGTAATTTGTTGAAACCACACTGAAGCATCTCTGCATCCTCTCAGTTCATTGCTCCACCCAGCTTTGTGTGGTCTACAAACTTGGAGATTTAGTTCCCTCACTGAAATCATTAATATGTATTCTGAATAGCTGAGGTCCAAACACTGATCCCTGCAGTACCTCAGTAGTCACTGCCTACTACTCAGAAAATGATCCATTTATTCCTCCACTTTGTTTCCTGTTTGCCAACCAGTTCTCTGTCTATGTCAGTATACTACCCACATTCACATTCACTTTAATTTTACATGCTAATCTCTTATGGGGGACCTTATCAAAAGCTTTGTGAAAGTCCAAGTAAACCACATCCGCAGGCTCCCCCTCACCAACCCTACTAGCTACATCACAAAAATTTCCAATAGATTTGTCAAGCACGATTTATCTTTCATAGATCTGAGCAGACTCTGTCCGATTCTGTCACTGTTTTCCAAAGGTTCTACCACTAAGTCTTCTATAATGCATGTTTGCATTTTCCCCATGACCGATGCCAAACTAAATCAGTCTATAAATTCCTGTTGTCTATTTACCTTCTTTTTAAATAGTGGGGTTACTTTAGCTATGCTCCAATCCATAGAAACTATTCAAGAGTTTATAGAAGCTTGAAAGATGATGACCAAAGCATTCCCTATTTCTAATGCTACTTCCTTAATTATTCTGGGATGTAGATTACCAGGCCCTGGTGATCTATTGGCCTTTAATCCCATCAATTTCCCCACTATCATTTCCCTATGAATATCGATTTCCTTCAATTTCTCACTCTGACTACACCTGGTGTCCTCAATAATTTTGGTTGTTTGTATTGTGCTTTGTGAAGAAATAACTAAATAACATCCCCTGTTTCTGAATGTAAGGGACCTACCTTTTGCAGTTGTACAAATACATTGGAGGCAGGGATTAATGTACCCAAAATAGTTGACAATATGAAAATGGGTAGGAAAGCAAATGATGAGGACATTACAAAGGGAATGCAAAAGGATATAGATAGATTAAGTGCTGGGGTAAAAACTAGACAGATGGAGTATATCGTGGGAAATTGTAAATTTAACCATTCTGGCAAGAAGGGTAGAAAAGTAGTGTTTTATTTAAAAGTCATTTTATTTAAGCCTTACTTGATGGGGAACATACTTGATTTGGAAGTAGTTTTAAATGGTCACAACTCAACGGTAGCATGCTGAAAACAAGCTCCATTATTTTTGGAGACACAAAAGTTCACAATGTTAAATCCTCCCAAGCAGCTGTAGCAAATCTCCCCGCCAGTATATTACTCCCCTTTCAATTTAGGTGCAATCTGTCCTTCTTACACAGTTCACTTCTACTCCAGCAGAGATTCCAATGATCCAAAAAAATGTGAATCCTTCTCCTCTGCACCAGCTTCTCAGCCATGCATTCATTTGCTCTATCCTCCAATTCCTAACCTCACTAGCTCATGGCACTGGGAGTAATCCAGATATTACTACCCTCAACGACCTACTTTTTAAATTCCTGCCTAACCTCCTATATTGTCTCCTCAAAATTTCGTCCTTTTCTCTGCCTATGTCATTAGTTCCAAAGTGTACAATGATCTCCTGCTGGTCTCTCTCCGCTTTGAGAATATTCTGCACTCTCTCCAAGATATCTTTGATCCTGGCTCCAGGGTGCCAACACACCACTCTGATGTCTCGATGTTGGCCACAGAATCGTCAGTCTGTGCCTCTGACTAAAGAGCTCCCTTTCACAATTGATCGCTTGGAATCTGGCGCACCCCTCGTTACACTAGAGCCAGTATGGTACCAGTAACCTGGCTGTCAGTGCTCCATTCCCCTGAGTCCATCAGCCCCATCATTTTCCAAAACAGCATACTTGTTTCAGATGGGCATAGCCATGGGAGACTCCTGCACTACCTGCCTACTCCACCTACCTTTCCTAGAGGTGACCCATCTATCTGACTGTATCTTCGGTTTATCTCCCTCCCTGCAACTGCCATCCATCACACCCCTTAGCTCCTCTAAATTCCTTATTGTCTCTAACACCCACTCCAACGGATCCATGCGATCCGATAAGCATCACAACCAAATACACTTCCTATAGACATAATCATCAGTAACAAGGAAACTCTCCCTAAACTCCCACATCCAACAGGAAGAGCACATCACTATAGTGAAGGCCATCTTTGCACCTTAACAATCTACAGACCCAGAAAATAGCACAGTCCTAATGCTCTAAAATCACTGCTGCAAGCTAGCTTCATTACTATGTTTTTATACTTTTAAAGTTCAATCAAGAGACAGATCTCATTTGCAATATATAATCAGAAGAAACCCCACTTTACTCACTATTTTAGATTTACAAAAGAAACAGTAAGGTTACACTTTTAAAAAACCACTTAGCTGCTCCCTTGCTGTAAGATCCCACACAAAGGTTTCTCCAAGGTCAGCTGTGAATTTCACTGTTTGTTTATTTTGAGTCAAGGACCGTTCATGTGTAAATAAACGGTGATTTGGTAGCGGGATACTGGCTTCCATGGAGTTGTTTCAGTATGCAGAATTTATTCAATTAAGAAAAGTTTAGCAGGTTGGGATCATACTTATTGGAGTTTAGAAGAATGAGAGTTGATCTTATTGAAGGACATAAGATGCTCAGAAAGCTTGACAAGGTAAATACTATGATGTTGTTGCCCCCTAGTGGCAAAATCTGAAACTAGCTGGCACAGTTATAAACTAAAGGGGCTTCTATTTGAGTCAGAAAGAATGAATTAATCTTTAGAATTTGTTTCCTCGGCAAACGGTGGAGTCTGGATCATTACATATATTCAAAGCTTAATTCGACAAATTTTCGACTGACCAGGGAGTTGAGTCATATGGTGAGCAGGAGTTAAGGCCAAAATCAGATCTTGAAGGTGACCAACTCCTGCTTCTATTTCTTTCACATCCTTAATTTTAAAAGATGTGCAAGATCAAAAATCCACATTGTTACGACTCTAATGGGAGAAGTATGCTGGGAATCAAGCCACACTACAGCCAAAAGCTGTACCAAAAGTGTCAATGTTTTATTTAATCACTAAAATAGCCAGAACAAGAGAGACTTCCACCACGTTTCTTCAGTAAACTCAACAAAGAATTGGTTATTTTGAATTCCCGGCAAGAAGGTGGTGGAGTAGGGTTTCTGAGCCCGGAGCTCGTCCGCTCTTCCTTTTGTTTCTTTTCTTTTTTACTTCTATTTTACTTACCTCTAGGCCTAGCAGCATGGACTTGTGGCAACCACGAGTTTGGGTTCTCAATGGCATCTGCATCGATGCAGCGGTCCTACTGCCGATTCATGGCTGCTGCAGCGGATACAAGTTTGACGGTGTCTACACCAGCACAGATTCATGGAGGAAGTAGTGGAGTTGAGTTTGGGCCTAGTATGAGACCTGGTGGCATCAGCAACGGCTTCATTGGCAAGGTGGGCCCGAAACAGATTCACGGCAGCAGCAGAGTCAAGTTTGGGCTGGTGCGGTAACCGGCGGCATCAGTGGTGTCTTCACTGGCATGGTCCATCAAGGAATCAGTGGCAAGGGAGTTGGGGATGTGAGATATTGCCAAAGAATTGCGACTTTCATTCTGGTGGCACCAGCACAGCAAAGGATACTGGTGTCTGGTCACCAGGCCCATGGCAGAGCACTTAACAAGAAAAACTGTAAAGCTGGACATTTTTCTGTCTTCATTGTCTATAGTTCTGTTTATTTTTCTATGTTTTAAGTTGGTGCCAGAGACAAAATACACGTGACAATAAATAAATCAAATAAACTCATTCTTTAAACTTGAGATAAAACTGGTTAACAAATATGCTACTAATCAATGTAATACTTTTATCCCCATAATATCAAACATACACATTCACACAACAGACAAGATAATACAACTCTAAATAGATATGGGTTGTAAAAAAAAAAAGAAAATTTCAGGTAACCTGCGTTAAAAAAAACCAGTGGGCCAAGTATTCCAACTCAAAGAAATTCTCAAGGCCCAGTCAATTTCCTTTCATCAAGATCACAATGCTGACAGCCATAGGACCGATGAGAAACCTTTAGATCAGTCTTCAGTTTCAATAAGAGTCAATTGGAAGTATTTCAGCTTTCAAACTTTAAAAGGAGCTTAAAGCTACTGGCAGCAGGAATGTTCTCAGGGTTCCATAAGATACTTCGCGAGGAGAGATCTGTGCAGCGTGCCCTGACGTAAGATGGAAGGTAGGGAGAGAGAGCGAGAGAGAGAGGGAGAGGGAGAGAGAGACAGCAAGAGAGAGGGGTGGCAGGGTTTGTTCCTTCAGCTGATGCACCTAGATTGTGTCTATAGGTATGAGGCTGGAAAGACACAGCAGGTCAGACAACATCAGAGGAGCAGGCAAGTTAACGTTTTGGCCCGAAACGTGGACTTTCCTGCTTCTCTGATGCTGTCTGACCTGTTGCGCTTTTCTAGCCTCACACCTATAGACTCCAGCTTCCAGCATCCGATGTCCTTATTGTCTCCAAAGCACCTAGGTATGTACTAAAATGAAGGGAATTTCAGTTCAGAGGTTATTGCTAAGCAACATTCCAAGCTTGTCAATTAATTAAAGGCATAAATCTCTTTAAAAAAAAAACTCTGCTTGTCTGCTTTACAGGAAGTCATCTGACATTATGTAAACAGTAGGTGACATACAATACATTTTTATTTATTTTTCAGTTCCGACAAGTTACGTGGTAATTCTTTAATCGCAGAAAATTTTCCAAATCTTGCCATCTCTTTCAGCTTCCTTTACATCCCTCTTCATTAAAATTGCTACCCCCAATTATACGTAAAGGGATATCCATAATCAAGCTGTATGCTTCATAGTTTTCACAGAAAAACAGAGGCAAGGCATTTAAATTCTTTGACAGTTGTACAGATTTCACAAAACTTAATAAATATGGTTACCAATTAACTAATATTCAATAATCTAGAAACAACAGCACTGATTTGAGTGTTTACATTAATTCACCACAAACAATGCTAGGGTCTCTAAGTTGTTTATATTTTGACAGTAAAATTCAGCTGGCTGCAAACCAGACATCTTTAACTCTTTCAGAATTTGTTACCAGAGCTAGCAGCATAAGACTCAATCTGCCACTTACATATAAACAAAAGAACTAGAGAATTTTCTTTTAAAAAGATGTATTAGATTGTTCTAATACAGAATGTAATTGAGGAATCAGACTCGAGTCATCTTCAAAGGGAAACTATACTTGAGAAAGAAAAATGTACAGTTAAAAGAGAACTAACTGGATCTCTCTATGCTCTGGTTTTATTCTTAAATATTCACTCATGAAAAGAAATTGTTAAAACTTCACTACCTTAACTTTTTAAAAAATCAACAAAAGAACAGAAGGTATATAATTCACCGTAACGTGTACAGATAATGCAAAGCACATATGAGGAATAAAAATAAAACATGCAAGTTCCCAAACCTTTGAACAATATTGTTTGTCCTGGATATTACACTACAATTCAAAGCTAAAATTCCTCCTCTCCATCTTACAGTTATATAGGTTTCCCAAAAATACTCAAAGATTTCACCATGCTCATAGTTTCAGCTCAGTGTTTGACTACAATCCAGAATTGAACTGAACTGAATTTGTTCCAGACTAATCAACTGTACTTTCAACAGAAATGGAATCCTGACAATGTGTAAGTGTAGAGCTGAAGTGTTATTTCCTATGACAAATGGTAGAATATTAACTGTTATTTTGCAAGATTGAAAAGTTCAGTGCTTTGTATTTACTGCAATGCAGTCAGTCCCAAGCACCACCATTCTGCCCCTCTGACAATGCTGATGTTAGCCAAAGGTATAATCCCTTGACGTATCAAGAGGTATCAAACAGTATTGGGTGGCATCAAATGAAACCTACTTTCATAACTTACTCAGCAGCAACTGTTACTATTTTCTTTGCCATACCTTGTCTACCTAAAGAAATCACTGCATCCACTTTGGCCTTCTGAATGGCAGACTTTGCCTTCTTTTGCTGAACTTGAACATCCTTAGACATTGGCACAGGGGCGAACTGACGAGGAGCAGGAGTCTGCAGAGAACCTCCCATGTCAAATCCATTATTTACAGGATGACTTCGACAAGCTGAAATTAAAAAGTCAGTACTTGAGGACAATATATTTATTTTTGACTTAATTTGTTTTAAAGTCATTCATGTTCAAATTTAATATCTATCCTGTGCATTGGAAGTTCTACTTTCTTATAGCGTTGTTTATTTCTTGTTACGAAGGTAGAAATAGATATATGATTGAATTAATAAAGACATCTTGTAACTGGAGACATACAGCACAAAGTTGCAATTGCTTGCACCAGGGTTGGCTTCAATGCACCTGGGACAATAATGGGAAATCCCAAGTTTTCTGTGCCTGGTCCCTGCTAGAAAATGAACATTGATAAATGTTCAGTGAAGTGAGGATAGAAATGAGTTATCCTATCTTAAGTGTCAAATATTATGTTCATATATAGTATTAATGCCCAAACATCAAGAATCCTGCTTGAGCGAGTTGCCAAAGGAAGTGTCAAGAAATGTACGTTTCGGCAGGAATCAGCACTTTCAGAAAAGCAAAGACGAAACTTAGAAAAGAAATAGAAAATAAATCATGACAAAACTAGAAAGGAAATGTAAAAGGGAAAACTACGAGACCTACATTTGAATCGTAGTTTTTCTTATCCATACATATAATAGGGGATATCACTTTTCAAAACCTGTGCATGCTTAAGGTTGTAACATGAGCAATGTAGGATCTTTTAAACAATCCATCTTTTTTCTAGAGAAGTGGGCAAGACTCAAAATCATGTACCTGAGTAAAACAAAAGTGAACTAAAAAGATCCACTACCAATTGCTCTGAACAAGAGCAAAAAAATATTTAGGGCATCATACACACACACAGCTTCATATATAAATCATTATTTAATTTGGGCATTATTTTCTCCTTAACTTTTAGAGTAATTAGATGATCTGTCATAAAAGATTTTAAGTAAAATTCTACCTGCAATTAATCTCAGTACAATTCCTAATAGGTGGTAATAGCAGTGACTTAATTTAATTGTTCACATTGGTAGCTTTATCAGTAACCATATATAAATTTATGCCAACTGGCAAAAGAACCCAGTTGGGGGAAAGAAGATTATATTTTAAAAATAAATAATACAATTTACTATTTTCTGAAATAAACTGTCTAAATGGACAGCAGAAACCGATACAATTGCAATTAAGTTAGGGTGCAGAACTATGGAAAAGGAACAGGAGTAGAATCAATTAAATACCTTCTCTATGATAAAACTGAATTATGTTGTGTAGAGCTGTAAGACTTTATGAACTCTGGTCTGTACACTGGGTCTTGGAAAGCATCTTGACCTAATTCTCGTTTCTTTGAAAGTGGATTGTCAACAAGTTGAATGCTCAGGCTTTTAGAAGCATAGAAACATTGAAAAAAACGGAATCAGGAGTCGGCTATCTGGCCATTAGAGCCTGCTCTTCCATTCAGTTTGATTATCTATCATCCAACTCAATAGCCTGTTCCTGCTATTCCCCACTATCCCTTCAAGCCAACTGTTATTTTGAGCCAAATCGTTTTATAGATACAAGATAGATGCGGAAACATTGAATAATTAATCCAGTGAAACATAGGTTTGTCTGTTCACCTTGAAACATAAAATCATATACTCTACTCACTTCTCTTTAAACAAGCTCTAAACAGGGGTTTACTTGACATAGCCAGAAACTAACCTAGTTTCCCTTATATAAAACCAGCGAAGAGCTGAAACCGGAGCTGAAACCTGCTAGGTATAATTCTCCAAAATAAACTCTCTGAATGAAATGCCCCTCCAACAGAAATTCATCCAACTACCATGCCCTTTCTTGAAGTCACAATCAATGCTCAGGCTAATCTTTTTGATTTGTCAAAAAGTGGCTCAGACCCACACCTGCCAGACAGCATTAAGAAATTTAGGTAAAGGGCCAGATCGCATATAATGACAATCAGTCCATTAGTTAGAATCAATCTCAGCACAAAAGGAAGGTGGTTACTTTTGCTGGAGGTCAATCAGCTTAGCCGATAACATCATTGCAAGAGTTTTGCAGGGTCGTATCCTAAACCCAGCTATCTTTAGTTCCTTCAATACATTCCCTCCATCATAAAATCAGAAGTGGGGAACATTCATTGATGATTGAACAATATTCAGCACCATTCACAACTTCTCAGCTATTGATGCAGTCCATGTCCATATGCAACAAGATGTGGACAGTACCCATGCTTGAGCTGACAGATGTTGAGAGAAATTTGTGCCATACAAATGCCAGGCAATAACAAGATTACATCCAAAAAGAGAGAATCTAACCACCACTTGACATTCAATCATATTGCCTCACTGAATTTCTTACCAGCAACATCCTGGGGTTTCCAATAACCAGAAACTGAACAGGACTAGCCACATAAATACTATAGCTACCAAAGCAAATCAGAGTTAGGTAACTCACCTTCTACTTCTCAAAGCCTATCCAGCATCTACAAGTCTGAAATATAATAGAATACTCTCCCACTTGACTGGATGAATGCAGCTCCTAAAGCACTGAAGAAGCTTGACATTATTCAAGACAAAACAGTCTGCCTGTTTGGCACCACAGCCTCAAGAAGAAAGCATTCACTTACTTCACCACCAACACTCAGTAGCAGCAGTGTGCCATTTATACCATCTAAATGTGCATCTTGTAGAAATTCACTGCCGCTCTGTGGACAGCCAAATCCACGACAAACACCATCTGGCAGGACAAGGGCAGTAGATACATGGAACACTATCACTTGCAAGCTATCTCCAAGCCACTCACGATACTGACTTGTAGGTATGTCACCATTCCTTTACTGTCATTGGGTCAAATATCCTGTATTCATCCATTACAACACTGGGAGTCAACATAAACCAGCTCAAAAAGGCAGCTCATTAACACCTTCTCAAGGACATCTAGGAATGGTCAATAATGCTGGCTCAGCCAGTGCACCCACGTCACATGAATGAATAAGAAAAAAAAAATGAAGCTATATGTAATATGACAACAGTTAACAACATGCATCTTAAAACAGATATGGATGGATACTTCTTTTGAATAATTGGGTTCATGGCTTGTTCGATAAACTGTGCTCATGTAATAATTAAATCTGAAATTCAAACGATTTCCAAAGTGAATATTGGATTGTTTTGAGATTAGAAACAGGTAATATGCTAAATATTCATTAAATATTGTGATCAGGGCCACTGACTACGGTTACAAAGCGACATTCAGTTTATATAACACAGTATTATGAGATTTTCGCTTGTGCTTTAGACTCACATTTTTAATTTTATGCTTTGCTTGTCAAAACCACAAATCATTGATTATGATGTCACATACGACCAACATGACCATTTTGATGATTCAAATTATTTGGAACTGTCAGGGAATCACAGAATTATTATGATGCAAAAGGTCCTTGTTTGGCCCATTGCATCTGAATTGGCTCGCTGAATGAGCATTATGACATGGTGCCAATCTCCTGCCTTTTCCCTGTACCCTTGCACATTGTTTTTATTCAAAAAACAAATCAAATGCCCTTTTGTCTTGATTGTCAGAGCAAGACATGAGCAAGACATACATGTCTTGACTGAACCTGCCTCCATCACAGTTCCTGGTATTGGATTTCAGATCCTAACTATCCCATGAATGAAAAAGTTTCTTCTTATATTGCACTTGCTTCTTTTGCAAATCTGTGCCCTCTCATTCTTGATCCTTTTAGGAGTGCTATCAGTTTCCCTCCATTTACACTGTTCATAGTCACGATTTTGAAAACTTCTGTCAAATTTCAGCCTTCTCCTCTCTAAGAAAAACAGTTCAGCTTCTCTGATCTTCACAACAAGTTTTGTCAGGATGCGAACCACCTTTATAAATTGTTTGACACCCTCCCCAAAGTACTCACATCCTTCCTGAAGCATTGTGACCAAAACTATACACAACAGTCCAGGTAAGGTCTTATACAAGGGCAGCCTAATTTCCTTGCACTTGTATACTATGTCGTTACAATTAAAGCTTCAGATATTGTATGCAACTAGTTAGATTTGTGTTTTTAAAGTGTGAATTTCACAAGTTTTTTTAATGTTTGTTTATTGAAAGCAATCAATAATTGTTCTAAAACAAACTTCTTTCTCATTACTTTCGGTCCTTTTAATTGAAATAAAATGAGCATACTTTGCACAAGGGGAAATGACCGACATATTGATTTGGAAGAGTAATTGAATCTGACCCAGAACTACTCTGGTATCAAGAAGTATATTTCATGCCAAAATTGCGTTTTTTCCTTCTTCATAACTGATATGCCATTTTGCCTGGCAAAGAATGTTTCTTCTCCTGCGCGTCTCTGTATCAGTTTGACTTAAATAAGCTAACAGCCAGGGTGGTGTAAAGTAAATTCATCATGGTGCTGTGAAGACAATGGTTTTTAAAGCATTATTAAAGCTGGCCATAAATCCGAATGAAAGGACTGATGTAATGTCCAAGAATTTTTCAAAACACAAGTGACTTCATCAAATCAATATATCCACGGACCACCATAGTGGCTCAGTGGTTAGCACTGATGCGCACAGCTCCAGGGTTCCGGGTCCAATTTCACCGGTGGGTGGCTGTCTGCGTGGAGTTTGCACATTTCCCCGTGTCTGCATGGGTTTCCTCCGGGTGCTCTGGTTTCCTCCCACAGCCCAAAGATATGCAGGTTAGGTGGATTTGCCATGCTAAACTGCCCATAGTGCCCAGTGATGTGCAGGTTAGGTGGGTTAGCTATGGGAAATGTAGGTTTATGAGGATAGGGTAAGGGGATGGGTCTGGGTGGGATGCTGTTTGGAGGGTTGATGTGGACCTGATAGGCCGAATGGCCTGCTTTCACACTGTAGGGGTTTCTATGACCTCTATGACTATGAGGATTTGCAATCCTAATGGTCAAAACCCCAGAGATTGTAACTGCACAAATTATTGAGCCTGTGAATGTGATAATGTTGCATATTTGTTTTCCAGAGTCTGCTTCACAGTATTAAACAGCTGGCCTTCAGTAGTAGCAATAGTACAATATTTGAAGGTGAACCCATAATTTTGCTTCCAAAAGTTTGGACCAATGTGATTGTTAAAGAAAGCTCTCAAATTTTCTGGGTTGTTTTTAAACTCCAAATAAGACTCTATTCACTATCAAATATTTTAAATGTGGGAGCAAATTATTGCAGAATATTAAGCACAACTGTAACACCAGATTTAAGGTTAATAAATGATTTCTACTCCTGTTACTCTATTTTTGCATGTTAAGATGCCATAATAAGCTCGGAGTTAAATTTCAGAGACAGCAAAGACCTGTTGTTTTTCTACAGTATTATAACAGACAAAGGAAATATTTCTCCATTTCACACAAAACTGTTTGCTCTTCTCACCCAGTAGTGTTGCAGAGGAGTCAGATGGCACATCTCCATGAGAAACGTAATGGATGTTGTTGCTTGGCAACTGCTGGAGGCCTTGATTCAGAGACTGACTACAATGTGCTGCTGAACTCAGTGTCATATTGTCAGAATGTGTTGGAGCTGCATCAACAGGATGGGTGTTGCCCATTGTGAACGCTGAAGTCAATATTCGCGACTAAATGACAAAAGTAAAAGAACCTATTATGGTCAATGTACAATAATACTCTTAACCACATGCATAATCCTAACTACATTAAGCAATGCAAGTAAATGTAAAGGAATGTTCAAGCAATTCTATATGCATATCATGTCAGTTTAAGACATCTTAAAATTCTAACTTTAATTCTGGCTAGGTCTATGTAGTTTTAAATAATGAAGCAATTGATATAATTTTTCACGTGAAGAATTCACTGAGCTGGATTTCCAAAGGGGAAAATGAGATCACTAATCTATACAACAAACATTCAGCACACAGACTAAAATAATAAATATAAAATGTAAAAATGTATAAAAAAAAGAAATGTATAAAAAACAAAATTACTCCCATTAATACTATTACTACATACCAGACAATAGGAATGCTTTCACATCACAGAACTGGTACTGCATACCTCAGGTAAAGGGAGTAGTTGTGAAGGCAAACATTCATGGTAACCTCAGCCAGTGTGGGAACTGTTGGTATTACTCTCCATCGCAAACCAGCCGTCTAGCAAACTGAGCTAAACCAACCCCCTCTCACTTGCACAATATTACACAAAAATCAAAAAATATCTGAAGAGATTTCTGGTGACATGACTCAAGACAGTCAAGCCACATGCATGCTATCACGCATCAGCACCACTGAATTGTGCTTGGGTGACCACATAAAGTAATATAAAGAGGAATAGACCCAGGGACAACCACCCGAGTCTTCCAGGCCAACAAGGCTAACTACTGATCTACTTCCTGCACCGCAGCTTTAGAAGTCATTGCAGGAGGGAGAGGAAGAAATAAAGTATAGGGCACTCAGGTGGCACAGGTAACATACTGTCAATAACCTTGTACTTCTGTGAATATATGCACGTTTACCCTCTGAAAATATCTGTTCTAGTGTCTTTTTTTGGCTATCGGATCTACATATAAAGAGATGGGCAGCCTCTGCAGACATCACAAGATTGAAATAAGTTGTAACGGCCAAACATTTCTCATTTCTCACAGTCAAATGACTCCTAGACCACAGATAGACTCCAACATTACAGATCATTGACTGTAGCTTTCAGGACTGCAGCCAGGCACCGAACCTTGATGTGGACAGCATTAAGGCTAAACATAGTATGCTGATATTGTGTTGGGGCCTGGCCTGCACACATCATGCCACACTTTGAGTGTGACAGCATGAAATCAGTGATGACTCCATACATCTCTGTAGAGAAAGGTCCACTCTCTGCATTAGATTTTCAAGACTGCATACTACTATTTAAGGCATGGAGATGCAAGATGTGCTTTTCACAAGTCGACTCTCATAGCACACAAGTCTGTAAATAAAAAAAGCAAAAAGTGCTACTTCTTGTAGATTCAAAGCTGCCCCATAGCATGTGCAAGCATTTCAGGGTAACCTTTCTGTTTAGACACACACACTGAAGAGTTACCAATGGCAGAGGGGTCAAAAGGAAATCCCTCAGAATTACAATGGTGCAGAAAGAGGCCATTTTACTCATCATGACTACACTGGCTCTCTGAACAAGCACTATGACTTAGTGCCAATCTCCAATGGCCACAGCACATCCTCATCTTAGAGTTCTCCTATGTCTTGCAGTATTTTCCTTTATTCATTCATAGGATGAGGGCATCGCTGGCTAGGCAGCATTTATTGCCCATCCTGAATTGCCCAGAGGGCAGTTAAGAAACAACCACCTTGCTGTCGGTCTGGAGTCACACGTAGGCCAGACAAGGCGAGGATGGCAGATTCCTTCCCAGAAGGACATTTGTGAACCAGATGGGTTTTTCCGACAATCGACAATGGGATCACAGTTATCATTAGATTCCTAATTCCAGATATTTTATTGAATTCAAATTCCACCATCTGCCAGGGCGGGATTCGAACTCTGGTCCCCAGGATGTTATCTGGGTCTCTGGATTAACAGTCCAGCGATAATACCACAAGGCTATTCCCTCCCCTATTTTGAGTGTACCTTCACTTCTCCTGGGACCAAACCAAGATTTACCACAGCACTCAGGAATTCATTTTGATTTTCCTCAGTTTTCTCACTACTCTTGGAGTTTGTCCAGCATTTGGCTAGACAAAACTTTGCGAAGATTTGTAGCTTGGGCTGTGGATGAGGTTGCAGATTTGCTCGCCAAGCTGGTGTGTTTGATTGCAGGCATTTTGTCACCCTGCTTGGTAAAATCATTAGTGCGCCTCCGGTGAAGCATTGGCATTCTGTCCTGCTTGTTATTTGTATGCCTCGGTTTGCTGGGGTGGTTGGTATTACTTCCAGTTCTGTTTTTCAGTAGTTTGTATATTGGGTCCAGTTCAACAGAATTCCGGTTGGAATTCCAGGCCTCCAGGAATTCCCTGGTATGTCTCTGTTTGGCTTGTGCTATTATGGATGTGTTGTCCGAGTTGAATTTGTGTCCTTCTCTGTCCGTGTATATTGAGACCGGTGAAACAGTGACACCAGGCCATGTCTCTTGGTGGCTAGTTGGTGCTCGTGTATCCTTTTTGCCTTATGGCATTACTTCTGTGACAAGCCACAACAAGAAGACACAACACAGCCAGACACACTCGTACATCAGGGACATATCAGAGATGACCGCAAGACTACTCAGACCCCTAGATATCAGGGTAGACCACAAACCAACAACCACTCTGCGATGGCTACTAATGAACATAACGGACCCCATACCCACAACCAATAAGACTAATGTAATATACAAAATACCATGCAAGGACTGTGTGAAACATTATATAGGCCAAACTGGGAAAAAAACTGGCAATAAGGATGCATGAACACCAACTAGCCGCCAAGAGATATGACCAATTCCCACTGGTATCAATAGACATGGACAAAGAAGGACACGAATTTGACTGGGATAACACATCCATAATAGCTCTAGATAGTACTTGTCAGACTACAGCTGAAATATTGTGAACAGTTTTAGTTTGAAGGAAAGATATACTGCCATTAGAGACAGTCCAGAAAAGACTCATCAGTCTGCTCCTGGGTATGGGGGGATTTTATGAGGAGAGGTTGAGAAGGTTGGGAATGTACTTTCCGGAATATAGGAGAATGAAACAACCTGATTGAAACATACAAGATTCTTACGGGATTCTTATTGATAAGTCATTCCCCTTTATGGGATAGTCTCTGACTAGAGGGGATAATCTCAGAAAACTCAAGCTAAAGATGAAGAGGAATTTCCCACTGGTAAATGTGTCCAGAACCAGGGGTCACAGTATGAAGATTTAGGGTAGACCATTTAGCATGGAGGTACGGAGTCATTTCTTCACCCAGAGTGGTGAGCCTGTGGAATTCAGTACCACAGGAAGTAGTTGATGTCAAAACATTGAACGCATTCAAGCGTGGGTAGATATAGCACTTGGGGCAAATGAGATCAAAGGTTATGGGGAGAAAGCAGCATTACGTTATTGAGTTGGATGATCAGCCATAATTGCGATAAATGGCAGAGCAGGCTCGAAGGGCAAAATGGCCTCCTCCTGCTCCTATCTTCTATGTTTCTATGTTTCTTCTCCGGGAGTATAGAATGTGTGGAATTCTTTACCACAGAGGTTGTCAAGGTTACATTGTTAAGTATATTCGAGGCTGAGATAGACAGATTTTTAATCACTAAGGCAATCAGGGTTACAGGATAAATTAGGAAAGTGAAGTTGAGAATAGTGGATCAGCCTTGATCTCACTGAATGGCAGAGCAAACCGTACGGGCTGAATGGCCTACTGCTGCTCCTACATCTTATGGTATTGTGTTTTATGGCCTTCATTAGTACATTACATGTAGGTTCCTGCCGAAAACATTTGGATGCCTTTCCCAACCATTTTAATGACAGTCATGCCAGAAGCTGGAAGAGAGCTCAAAGTGGTGGTTTTACCTTCCAGTGGCCTGTTCTGATGGTGCTAAAGCTGTCAAATCAGATTACAGGAGAGTACAGCATTCAGTCCTCAAACCTATTCCATTATTCGCTTAGAGCGAGGTTGAACGGTACAGATGTGAGCACAAAACCTAAGCTGACATCCAGTAAGGCACTGAGGGAAGGCTGCACTATTGGAAATGTGGTTTTTCGGATGAGATCTTAAAGCAAGGCTCCTTTTAATGGCACTATTCAGAAGAGTAGGGGTATGCTCTGCAAAGTCCTGGATAGTACTTACCACTTAACCAATATCAATTAGAAAACCAGTAACCTAGTTACATAAATAGATTGCTGTATTTTCTACCACTATGGCTATACACTTTATACAGTGGGGTGCACAGCTACTTGGGAAATCTCAGTCACAAAAGGTGCTCTCTAAAAGCAAGTTTTTGAATAATTTAAGTCCAGTGTCTTTCCGGTGAATATATGCTGTACTCTCTGCTTAGCGCTTAAACAAAATACGCAACATGGTACCAATCAAGCAGGCTGCTTTGCCCTAGATGGTGTCAAGCTTCGAGTGTTGTTGAATCCAGGCAGGGGTGGGGTATCCAGCACACCACTGACTTGTGTTTGAAAGACTTTGGGGAGTCAGAGGGGAACTATTTGCTGCAGTATTCCTAACCTCCGAGTTGCTCTTTTAGACATTGTATTCATATGATGGGTTCAGTTGAGTTTTTGGTCAATGGTAACCAAGGGTGTTGATAGCAAGAATTCAGTGATGGTAACACTACTGAATATCAAGGGGAGGTGGTCAGATTGTTTCTTATTGGCCATGGTCATTGCCTGACATTTGAATGTTACTTGGTAGTTGTCAGACCAAGTCTGGATTTTGTCCAGATCTTGTTGATTTGAACATGCACTCTTCAGTATCTGAAGAGATGCTAATGGTGCTGAACACTGCACAATCATTGCAGAATATTCCCACTTCTGATCTGATGACGGAGGGAAGGTCAATGATGAAGCAGTTGAAGATGGTTGGGCTTAGGATACCAACCTGAGGAACACCTGCAAAACTCCAAAACTACAACCATCTTCCAATGGGCCAAGAG